TTTGAGGTTCCTGCAGAATTCTCTTTCTGTTAACTTGTGAAAACTTGAGCAGCATGGGAATACTTCTTCAGGTTCAATTTGCTTTGAGTGTCTGAATGTCAGTGACTTGGGTGAGCATTTCCCACCCCAGATAGGAAAGTTTTCTGTTCTTCTTTCTGTACATAAGGGTTTGTTCCTTACACTTCTGCCTTTTATTCTTTCAGACTGGATGGTTTCAAATGGCTTGTTGGTGACTCATGGCTTCATTTCTCTCTTTCAATGGGGTTTTCTGTTGAAGCTCTCTTGAGTTGTTAATTTCATACATTGTATTATTTAGCTCCAGATTTCTGTTAACTTTTTTATGGTTGTTGACTTTGGTGAGCTTTCATTGTTTGCATATTACTCTCCTGATTTCATTGTGTTTAGTTTGCTGTCTGTGTCCACCTGTTACTTGTGCTTCTTTGATAGTATGGTTTTACATTCTTTGCCATGCAGTTCATAGACCTCTATTTCTTTAGAGCCAGATCCTGTAGCTTGATTTTCTCCTTTTAGTGATGTCATGCTTCTTTGGTTATCTTTCCTGTGTTCCTTGAAATTATGCATTGTTGACTGCATTTGAACAAGCAGTCACCTCTAGTCTTTATTGTTTTGCTTCTGGAGAAAAAGACTTTCGGCACTCAGTTGTAGCTAAAGGTCTTAGAATCTTTTAAAAATGTAGTTTCTATGTCTGGGAGGCCAACACAGGACTGATCCAGACCCCTGAATGTGGATGTCAATGAGGAGGCCTGGGCACTCTATGGGGCCCCTGGTAGTGGATCAGTATTTATCCCTGATGCAAGAAGGGACTTTGAGAGCCCATCCCACATGGAGGAATGCTCTCTCAGCCTGGACACATGGCAGAGGGCCTAGGCCCTGCCCAGGATGATATGACAGACCTTGGGGAACCCCAATGGAGGTCCTTACCCTCCCTGAGGAGCAGAGGGGGGGATGAGATAGGGGCCTGGAGGGGCCTCGGGGGAGGGAGAATTGTGAAGCAAGCTTGTTTCTAATTTGAACTAATAAAAAATAATAATAAAAATGGAAACACATAGCATAAAACTAGTGTTTTAATAATAACAATTTAAAGAAAAAATTATAGGTTTTTTTTTTTTTTTCCCCGAGACATGGTTTCTCTGTGTAGCTTTGGAGCCTATCCTGGCACTCTCTCTGGAGACCAGGATGGCCTCAAACTCACAGAGATCCATCTGCCTCTGCCTCCTGAGTTCTGGGATTAAAGGCGTGCGCCACCAACGCCCAGCCGCCCCATTCTATTTTTTTTTGATCGTTCTTCTGGGGAAGTTTGAGGCCTTCTTTCAAAACTGCAGAGCCAAGATTTGGCTGAAAGTCTCCATTCTTCCTATGACAGTGCCCTGGTGTGTTCAAGGCTACCTATTGGCTGTGTACTGTCTGTAGAGTCCTGTGTGCTCTGTCTAGGAGACATAGAACTTCTGCTGTGAAAGGGGCTATGTGGAGTCCTGCTAGTGCTTATTGTCTAGCTGGGGGTGTGTCTTAGTTACTTCTCTGTTGCTGTGATGAGACACCATGGCCAAGAAAACTTACAGAGGAAAGAGTTTCAGAGGGTAAGTCCATACCATTGTGATCGTTAAAATAACAATGGACCCCTTAGGGTCATATATTTGAATGTTTAATCATCAGGGAATGATACTATTTAAAGGATTAAAAGGATTAGGAGGTCTGACCTTATTGAAGGAAGTGTGTCACTAGGTGTGGACTTTGAAATTTCCAAAGCTCACACTAGGTTCGATGCCCCCACCCCACCTATGGATCAGGATGTAGCTCTCAGGAGGAACTTCTTCAAACATCATGCCTGCTCCTGCTGTGATGATAATGGACTAAACCTCTGAACTGTAAGCAAGCACCCAGTTAAATGATTTCTTTCTTAAGCATGACCTTAGTCATGGTGTCTCTTTACAGAAACAGAACAGTGACTAAGACAACCATCCTGGTAGGGATCATGGCCAGAGGCAGGCAGGAATAGCACTAGAGCAATCCCCAAGAGCTTACATCCTTGTCCACAAACACAAGGCAGAGAGAGCTGTTTGAGAATGGTGTAGGCTTTTGAAACCTGAAATCCAGCACCCAGCAGACCTTCTTCAATAAGGCCATACCTTCTGATCCTTCCCAAACAGTTTCACAAACTAGGGCCATTACCATTTAAAAAGGGAAGCTACCATTAGAATGTCTTACCAGGTCTATGGACCAGGCTTTTGGTGAATTTTATGAGCTGGTGACTATGGCTTTCTGCTGTTGGTTGACCTCTACAAAGTTATTACTGAAAACCCCACTTCCTTTCCCTGCTCTTCGAAATCCCAGAATATTTAGCTCACTCAGGATTTGGCTCATAGGCACTGTATCATGAAGCAAAAGATTCTCGTGTTTCTCCTGTGATAGAAGTTTGCTCTTCGAAATCCCAGAATATTTAGCTCACTCAGGATTTGGCTCATAGACACTGTATCATGAAGCAAAAGATTCTCGTGTTTCTCCTGTGATATAGAAAGTCTCTCTCCAGGCACTAAGCTGTATCATCTTGAAGGAAGATGATATGGGGAAAAGAAGATTTCCTTTTCTTCTTCAATTCATCTATCCTATTTCACCAAGGAGCTGGCACCTCTCAGTTAGACTCCAGGATTCCTGTCAAACTACTGTCTTTTGTGGGTAGTTGTTAAAATTAGAGTTTCTGTGGGAGCTTGAAGACTGGGACCTTCAACTCTGCAATCTTGATGTCAAGAATTATGTCTTATTCCTAGTAATTGCTTGTTTCTTCTTAACTTCCAAAGTGAATAATTGGAAATGGAGGCATTACATTTTCAGGAGAAACATCAAGAATATTGCAATCTGTCCTGGGATGTACTTCTCATGAATTGGCATGCCTACATGCATTCTAGGTCATTTAAAAAGGGAATAGTCAGTCTTCTTCGGCAGATGTCATGTAGGACCTGAGTTTTTTGGGTTTTGCTATTGTTGTGTTTTGTTATAGTATTTTTTTTAACATCCTAATAAGTTTCCAGGTGCTACTAGAAGAGCACACTGTTCTGAACATTGACTTACAGGCTGCATTGTCCCCTAAATGGTTGCAGTATTTCCAGGAGCCACAGAGAATTGAAATGATGGAGATCAAGACACAGCAGAGAGCTGTCTAGGGCATGTGTGCCGAGGTCACAGTATTTACTGGCTTAGGATATGAAAGCTACACTGCCTGATTAGTCCAATAATGTGGTCATTGGTGCATAATTGATCTCTACAACCAATGTCAAAGTTGACTAAGCTGCTTCTATTAGAAAGATATCTAGCAATTAGAAGCCCCAGGCCTGGATGTATCTTGATATCTAAAACTGTTGCAGTGAGAGCCTTTGCTCTCAGAATTTCTCACATATGCAGTGTTTTGGTGCACTTTTCATTTTTCTCTAAGTAATATGCTATAACAATTTTAAAAGGGAAAGGTCTCTGAGATTTTACCACTGAACATCAAACAAATTCGGAAGGACCTGTTTCCTGTTCTCCTAGACACCATTTGACTCTATTTTGGGAGGCATTGTGGGTGGTAGAAATAGCCTTGACTACCTCCTGGGAGTGAACTATGCAAGTGTCAAAGTAACTGCAGAACAATCATGCCTCCCCTTCTGAGAAGTACCATCCTGAGAGGGTGTTTGAAAGAAACTGTAATTACAAAAGCCATCCCTTCCAAAATGCCCAGTTCAAAAATATTGGGTTCTCCTGTTTGAGAAGTATGAAAGCAAACTGAGAACAGAACACAGGCATCCTACCTCATCTTATTCATGGGAAAATGTCAGTTGTTAGGCTTAGGAAGAGGGTGCACACCCAGTAATCAGGGCTGGCAGTGCTCTGTGATAGCATTGGCTTGATAAGTACAACAGTCGCCTTCTCTGGGGTACTAGGCAGTCCTTTCGGCAGGATGCTCCCAGCTACTACGGCCTTATTTTCCTTTAGTCCTAAGGCCTGTGGACTCTGCCTCCTTAATGGAATTTTACTCTTCCTTCCCTCTGCAGTACCCCCATCTTCTTTTCCCCCTGAGCCTTTGCATGAATGTGTAAAATGTTTTCTCTGACTCCACCTTCATCCAGTGTTAGTTACTGCAGTTTCTTCGTCTTGGACTCCATCTAACACAGACTGATGATTTCATTATTGTGTTCATCCTGTTGTCTTTCCTAAACATTCTTGTTTCCGGCCCCATGTCTGGAAGTTAAATCAGGACTGCAGCATAGCTGCTGTCGCTTCTCCTACTCTTTCTTAAAATGCTGCCCCCTTTAATCCCACTTTTCCTAGCTGCCTAAGTTTTACTGGTACCAACATTTGGTTATTTTGTTATGTGCACAGTGTATTGTCTGCATTGTTGCCTCTGTTTAATAAGCTAGCTCCTCTGCCTAGAATCTGTTGCATCACTTTTCTCCTTAGAAAGCTAGTGTTTTTGGTACTTTCTTTGGAAAGTCTTCCTGAAGCTCTATTCTCTATTCTCTCTTCCGAAGCTCCTCCCTCAAGTTTCTGACAGTATACCATTGTGAAGCATCTCATTCTTCTTGTCTCCCCCACTAGGCTACATGCCCTGCAGTTGGGATGTTTCTAGATACTTCACTCTAGAGAAGGAGCTGATACAGTGTATATGCTTAAGTAATCACTCTTAAATCATATGTGGTGGATGAGGAACAAAAGACAGGCAGGAAGACAAATGAAGAAATGGAGAGGCTTTAGAGTTTTGAATGATGATAGTCACTTATTAAAGATACATGAAAAGCAAAGACAGAATATGAACACATTAGGTATATTCAGACATATGCACATAGACACACACAGAGTCCACATGTGGCCCATGGTATAACCACTGTGGGATTCTCTTCCTTGTGAGATACTCTCTAGCAACAATCCACCCCTATGACTTGCATTTTTGAGCAGCCTTTTTTTCTGAATATGCATGGACCTAACGCTGTACCTTTCTTTCATTCCAGAATGATGGAACCCTGCGGCTTGTGACTAACTCCATGGTGTGGGTTCCTGAAGGGGGGATGCTGAAGATCACCAACCGGATCTTGCAGGCTCAAGCTCCTGGTGTCCGAGCCGAGGACATCATCTACAAGATCACACACGGCCACCCCCAGTTTGGTAACGTGTTTCTTTGGTGTGGTTTCATTTTGTACCAGAGGTTAGGATTTGGTGTTGCACTGTGCCATGCAGCAAAGCTGTGACTCAGTTTATCTGAGCTTTCTCATACTTCATATACCTCATTGAGGGACAGCGTGATCATGATAGCTGTCACTCTGTACACTCTTGTGGCTACCAGCTGATCATGATAACTGTCATACTGTCCACTCTTGTGAGTACCTCATCAGCACATTGTATATGCTATCTAAGATAATAACTTGTTTCTGATAACCACCTAGCTAGCATGTGTTATGTGAATTTCACAAACCAGGCTCTCAAATGCTACCTTCATCCTCTCAGACCAATCTACAAACTCTCTAGTTTTTATTTAAAAATTTATTGCATTTATTTATTGTGTGCATGCAAGAGCACATCTGTGTTCATGAGAGCACATATGTGCCCATGCATACCTACCATACTGTTAGAGGACAACTTATGGGAGTTTGTTCTCTCTTTCTGCCATGTGCATTCCAGGGTCCAACTTGAATTGTCAGGCCATCAGATTCAGTAGTAGGCTCTTTCACCCACTGAGCCATGTTACCAGCCCAGGCTCTTAATAAGGGTGCAGAGGTCATGAGGGAGCAGAAAGGTTGAGTCAGGTGAAGAATAGAAGAAAGGGTATGTAATAGGTAAGGTTTTAGTTGGGGGGGGGTGGTAGGGGAGGACGGGAGGGAGAAGGGAACTGGGATTGTCATGTAAATCAATCTTGTTTCTAATTCAAATTTAAAAATGATAAAAAAGAAATAGCACAGAAATATTCTTCAATATTTACCATTATTACTTTTCCAAGAAAGATAGTACATGTGGTAATCTAAGGTATTCCTGTTAATATCAACTAGAAGTACAGTTTAGCAAGAGTTATACTGAAGTATTATTCATTAGTGCTCCCCAAGAATGAAGTGAAGTACCAAAGTGCTGGAAACAGAAGCAGTCTTTGTGCTTGCAAGGAGGTGATGGAAGGGTGTCATCGTATGTCTGGCCCATCACTTGCTCTTGAACCTGGTACTCACAGGTTTTGGCTAGGATGGCAGCCAGAAAGCCTCAAAGATCTTCATACCTCTACCCCTACAATGCTGGGGTTATAGGTATGCACAAGACTATGCCTAGCTTGTTAATATGGTGTTGGGATTTGAACTTGGGTCTTCATGCTTGGGCAGCAAGCCACCTCCCTAGCCCTTGACTAATACTTTTGAAGAGAACTGTTCACAGAGTTGTGTACTATTGGCTGATTTGGGTCCATTTGGTGGTTTCTCATTTTGGGGCTTGCTTTTTCTACTTTTGATGTATTGTATTGGGGATACATGATATTGCTGTTTTATTGTGGTTACATTAACTCTGATCACTTGATTAAGGTGAGAGCTGTCAAATTTCTCCACTGTAGTTATTCTTCTCCTATCTACAATTAATAAATGTCCTATTCCCAGTGTACTTGCCCTGCTGAATTTGAACTAGGTGGCTTCTAAGTCCTTTTCATCTCTAAATGCCTCTGACTCTTGTGATATATTAAATTCCTTAACTTTATTATGATTATTAAGAGCCAAAAATTAAGCCCCCAGATTCCATAGAAACACCCCAGTATTTCATTAAATATTAAACAGAACAACACTGAATTAAATGGTTTTTTAAGCAGATGAAAGTTTGCCATTTCAGGGTAAGAAATGCTTTATTGGGACCCCCTTTCTCCATAACTCTCTTAATTAACTTCTCACAAACCCAGTCTCTGCATGTCTCTTTCTCCCTGCTCATAGTAATCAAATAATGTCACCCTAGAGTTCAAGAGTGAGAAGTGTGGTGGGAGCTAGACACCCATAGAACACAAGTCTACTTATATCCCCTGTCCCTGTGAGATGCACCTGTGGCCCTCACTGGTGGCTTCTGGCTGCCATGTGCTCCCAGGTCACTTTAGAACCTTCAGTGTGGCTTTCAGCTTTTTATGGGCAACTGACTTTGGAATGGAACTGAGCACAAATCCCTTATCCGGTATGCATGTAAAGGGCTTCAATTCATCCAGGCATGATGGTTACTTGCACCTGTCATTCCAGCACTTGCAGGGCTGAAGCAGGAGGTTTGACACTAGTTTAAGATGCAGGATAACTTTATACAGAGTGAGACAGGGACCAAAAACAAACAAAACAAATTAAAAAAAGCCTAAATTCAACCACTTCTGGAGCATTATTTTCAAATGTGTCTTAACCAGTTGATTGACATGTGTAACCTTAGTGCTTTTGTAGTAGTGCTTTTGATAGTCTAGTAGTCTATCAAAGGACCTTGGGTATCATTTGAGAGAGAGAATATCACTTATTCTAAATCACTGTAACTCTAAATTATTTATCATACTATATGAAAGTATAATAAAAATGGCCTCAATCCCAACATAATTCATAGAGATTCAAATGAGACTTTAACTCTAATAACATTAATTTTTCTCTTTAAAATTCTTCATTAAACATAAGCTTAAGTATCCAATAAAATCCAAGACAGAAGTGACTACTGGTTTCCAAGCATAGAATTTTGCACTGGAAATGTGTCTTACATTTTTGGTACTGTCATGGTGAAAGCAGTGGTTAGGAACTGCACACAATATTAGCTTTCCCCTCTTTATGAGTATGGTACCAAATTCTCAGAATTCCCCCTTGTCTTCTCAAGTTATTGTACCCAAGGCACCCATATTCAGTGTATCCAGTGGCATGCTCTCTATCCTCAATGTACCTAGCCTGTTCTTCTGTATTATGCCCATCAGTGGCAGCCACCCTGCCCACAAGATAGTTTTACACTCCATCCTCTCTTGTCTCCAGAGCCATTATTGGCAGCCTGCATTGCCTATCTCCCCACTGCCTGCTTGTTTCTTTGCAAATTGTATCTCTGCTGCCTTAGTTCAGGTGTCGATCTCAACACTAGATTTCATGCTAACCGCCTCATTGGTTAAAGTGTCTACATAAATGTTGACTATTGTTGTCATTTTGAATATAATAAAGTCTTGCCTCCTTAAAAAGTATTTTCAAGTCTATGGACAATCTGTAGTCCAGTCACACGATTTCATGCTCCCAATCCACACACACCACTCACCCGCAGTGGTTCCTCCGATGGCTCCCTGTGCTAACAGTGCTGATCTATAGCATTAGCAATAGAAACTCCATCTGCATTATGTGTGGGTCCTGTACTCTTAAAGGCCTGTTGTAGTAGGTTGTACCTAACAGATACTCAGAGACTATTACATTTAAATTGGTGGAGCTCGTCAACATCCTGCAATACCTGTGAAGCTGTATCATGTGGAAGTGATTTCTTTTTAGTAGAAAATGTATTTATTTCCTTAGATGTTGTTAGGGAAATTCTGCAAGGCTTTTCTGCTGTAAAGCAGAGCAGCCGGGAAATCAGCTGTGGGTAGTTCCCTGACCCACTCTCTTTGTTTTCCTTGTGGCAATTAACTTTCAGAGTATTTCTCAACTGTGCTGATACTTGTGAACAGGCCTGATCCTGGGAAGTCATGCCTGTTCACAAAATCTTATGATGGTCACCAGGAGAGATTAGTGACAAAATTGTTTATTTAGCAGCAGATGAACAATAACACAGAACTAGAGTGAATCTATTCTCTCAAATTGTTCTATGTACAAGAGGGGTGATGTTTTTCTCCTATTTTGGCATTTCACTATCATCCAGTGTGTTTTGCTCATCTTTAAGTGCATATAAATATTAGAATGAGTGTTTACTTTGAGGTAGAAAATGGGTTTCTCTGGGGTAATGAAAATATGCTACCAGTTTTCAAAAATGAAATGTGCTGTCACTTATCCAATATGTCTAGTGTATTAAGATTGGGCATTTTCCTACAAAACATTTTTAAAATAGAAAAATAGATTCTCTGTCCCTCTCTGTGTGTTCTCACTTTCTGCCTCTTGCTCCCCCCTCTTTCTTACACACAACAACACACACACACACACACACACACACACACACACACACACACACACACACACACACTGCTGTCCCTTCTACTATCAAAATGGCAGAGTAGCTTTTGGGGGCTTATTGTTAGATGCAAAACAAGCCTACTTTCAGAAGGGCATCCACTTTTCTGTGTGGTCTTCACTCTAGGGTATATGCTTGTGAAACTTTAATTGTTTCTATAACACTTCTGTATTTGTGATCTCACCTGACGATGACAGTAGCTGCAGGTGAGGGAGAAGCATTAAACACAGGTGGGTAGTGTTTGGATTTAAATGTCCTTGCTGCATTTCAAACAAACTGTATCAAATTAAGGGGGAGAGAATGCTAAGACCAATTTACTAACACATGTACAGAAAACAGAAAGGATTGCTGCTTATCTGCTGACCTCCATCAGGTCTCTGAACTTCTCTAAGACTAAAGACATTCATCTATCTATAAGGGAGATGGTGACATCATTCACATGGACACATAAAGTGTCAGTGGGAGTAACCAGCCTTCTCTCTAAATACCTCTAAAGTTTGTGTCCAGCAGGTTGAGCATTGCTTGGCCAAAATGCTTGAGACCAGAAGTATTTCAAATGTGGATTTCAAAAAAATATTTCCTATTTGCAAATGAGTGATGAGATATCTTATAAATGAGACTCAAATCTAAGCACACAAACACTTATTCATCATATATATAATATAATATAATATATAATATAGCTGAAATTCTAATGTGGTCTTAATGTTCCTGGCATTTGACTATGACCTGTTGTGAGATCCCTCCAGCACGGGATTTTCTACTATGGTGTCATGTTGGCACACAAAAATGTTGGGATCTTGGGTCTTTTTGGATTGTGGGCTTTTAGATTAGGTATGTTCAGTCTGAGTTGTTTTTACATTACACATGAGCAGTGGAGCCTTAGAAGTGTTGAGTTAAGCTCATGCATGGTAGAGGCAGAGCCGGGTTTGAACTGCCACACCAGGAACAGCTATTTTATATGTGTCCTAGTGTCAGCCAACAGTGTCTCCACTGGAATGAATCTTCTCAGGATTAACTTCCACTGAACTCACTCTGTGTTATGTGCACAACCTATAATTGTTTAGAATACATTTTGAGTTACATAGAAAGTTCTATATAGAAATTAATACATCTAGTGCCCAGTGTGTCTACTTATAGTATCCACTACAATTTGAGTCTCGTTGTGCAATTGTATACCTGCATTGCCCCTATTGAAGGCTGGGAATTCTGTGTCTAAAGGGAAATTCAGTGCTGTTTATTGAGTTCTGTTAGCATCCTTACTTTTGCTTTAGATACATAGTTCTTCGGTTTGTAAAGAAGGAATGACGGGAAGGAAGGAGATCTCCATCTTGCTTTCCCAGAGATCTAACCGTATGGCCTGTGCTTCCCTAGGGGAGGTGGTCCTCCTGATGGATCTGCCTGCAGACAGCCCTGCCGGCCCTGCTGGTCCTGCTGCTGGTCCTACCAGCCCTGCCGAGGAAGGGCAGCACCTGCCTGATGGAAGAATGGCCACACCCACCAGCACCTTCACCCAGCAGGACATCGATGATGGCATAGTGTGGTACAGACACTCAGGAGCCCTGACCCAGAGTGATGCCTTCCACTTCCAGGTGCCCTCTGTCTACATCCTGACCATCCTTAGGGCACCTGGGCCATTTTCTTTAACTGACCATCTAGGCGAGGGAGGCATAATTAGTAGCATTAAGAGTTTTGTAAAATGTGTTTATTCAGGTGAAAAATAATAGGTACTACCTAGGGGTCTGCTGTTATCTTTCATTAAAATTGGTGATAGACTAGACCATAAACAGAACTGCAAAAGAATAGGAAAGAATATGAGGTTCAGTCTAACGATTGTGAATACAAAGTCATAGCAAATAGTAAACATGACTGTTAAACCATTTGTTATACTTTAAATGTTCTTAAAAGAAATCAAAGTAGTGAACTATTAAGAATTGTTGAAGAGAAAATGACTTTTGAAGACTTACATGAAGTGTATAAAATGATATTCAAAGGAAAATTGATGGTACCATTTATTATTGAGCAGGAAAACATAAAAAAAAAAGTGGACCAAACAAATGTTTGATTCTGGACGTCAGCAACCCACTAGGAAAGCAAGAAGGGGAAACTGGTTAATTTTAAAACACTAAAAGTGGCAAAGGAGAACAAAGGTTGATTCTTCAAAAAGAACAGTAGCATTAGGCAAACCTATAGCCAGAAGGATTAGAAATAAAAATTAGACAGAAATACTAAGGAATAAGGGACTGTGAGTTTAAGCAGAACACATTGTGGTGCCTATAGCATGCCCTTCAAGTTACAGGCTTTTCCTTTGTCTAAGAATGCACTCCACTTCTAATGCCTGGCATGTGCATTTTTGTTGCCTGATTAATTTATATTGTATAAACAGTGCTTTTCCAAAGAGCAGGCTGATAGAAATATGGAAACTATTAAGATGAGGTTATTCTCAGAACATCGAATGTCCCAAAGCCAGCAAATGCTCTGTGCCCTTTGCTCCAGTTAACTTCTCAATTTCAACACCTGGGACGGCAGCAGTCCTCAGAGAATGAGTCAGGATTGAGGCGAAGACCTCAATCTAAAGAAGTCACCTCAGCAAACTAGAACCCACAGATCTGCCTTCCCCTTCAGGGGGGTCAAGATAACGTGTTGTTACTACGGAGTCTTTCCCTAGAAGAGAATTCTAAGCACCTGCTCAAACTGACATCAAGTTGCTTTGCAGTTAGGTTACTGAGTGAAATAAAATAATGAAAAACAAGTTAAAAGGTACTGAATTTCAGGAAAGAAAAAAAAAAGAGACTCCCCGAGGCAGATATGCTGGTACATACATATACTTCCAGCACATCCTAAGCTCAAAGGTCAGGAGTTCAAGGACATCAGCTGCATAACAAGTTTGAGGCCAGCCTGAGCTACATGAGGCCCAGCAAGCTACTCACCCACTCATTAGATTTACAATGTGTGACTAAATATCATTACTTAGGAAGTAGGTCTGTGTGGAGTCCTCACACTCCTTAGATAAAATATGATAGAACTCCTCCTACCTGAAACAGCTTTCAAAGCATTTGTGATGTTATTTAAACAGCCTCGAGAATGACAGAGTATCATTTTGGGGACATGGGTTTACAATATTACAAATTAGTCAAAAACCACCCAACCTATCCAAACTGTGGTGTGCTAGGTCAAAGAGTGGCAACCTTCTGGTTAAGAAGGAGATTCAGCTGAGCATTGGTGGCGCACGCCTTTAATCCTAGTACTCGGGAGGCAGAGACAGGTGGATCTCTGTGAGTTCCAGACCAGCCTGGTCTACATAGCAAGTCCCAGGATAGCCTCCAAAGCAATATGGAGAAACCCTGTCTTGAAAAACCAAACAAAAACAAAAAAAAAAAAAAACAGTAAATT